TTTTAAAATTATATTTTGACCCCTCAGTTTCCGATTTGTTTTTAAAAATACCCCTAAACCCAAATTTTTACCCTTTTTTTTCAAAATTATTTTAAATTTCATCCTCTATTTAATTTTCTTTATTTTTACATTAAATAAAAATTCAAAAACTAAAAAATTATATTTATACATTAATTTTAATTATATTAAAATTAATTAAGAGTATTACAAAGATCATACCTCCTAATGAGTATACGTCCTTTTTTTATATGGATATGGATGATTGGCTTATCACCAACCTAAGGAATCCTTGGCATTGATGTCATAGCTTCAGTGACTGGAGGATTGTGTTCAAAATCACCTGCTGATCTCTTGGCATCAAAGGAATCATCTCGTCTTTGCGAGCGAGCCTTGGAATATTGATGAGATGAAACACATTATTTTTTGGATGGTGGACTACAGCTTTCAGGCTACTCCCGTGGTTGCTGTGCTCAGTAACTACGGTTACAGGAAGAATGAGACACTTGTCAGCTGGTGTGCTCCCCCTAGGACTGGGTTAAGATCAATACTGATGGTGCTTATCGGGCCGACATTAATTTGGCTTGTGCTGGTGGCCTGGGTCGGGACACGAATGGTACTTGATTAAGGGGCTTTAGTAGAAATATTAGGACTTGTTCTATCCTACATGTCAAGCTATGGGGTGCCCTAGATGGTTTGGATATGGCTTAGAGTATGAGTGAGCGCAAAGTCATTCTTGAGATGGACAACTTACTTGTGGTTCAAGTTCTAAATAGAGTTATCAGCCATGAGCCTATTCAGATTAATGCTTGCTCCAATCTTATCCATGCTATCAGAATCCGTATGGCTAGGAGTTGAATAGAGCAGATTCAACATGTTTACAGATAGGAGAACCAGTGTGCTGATCTCCTGGTCAACCATGTCTTCTCTGCCCCTCTTGGGCTTCACTTCCACTGCCATCCTCTCATTAATTTGGCTCAGCTTACTAGGAATGATCTCATCAGTGTCTCTTAGTCTAGAATGTGTATTGTTTAGACTTTACCGTATTTTTCTCTCTTTTTTATATATAAAAAATGATAAAACATAAATAAGAACTACCTCAGAACAAGAGAAGAGAAAGAATAAGAGAAAAAGAAAAGAGAGAAATTGAGCCTCAAGATAAAGAAAAATTTCCCCCATGTTAGTAAACAACTTTTCCCCGAATCAAAGTGAGAAAATGAAAAAGAAAATTAAAGGAAAGAAACATCCCTCAAGAGAAAAATTATCCATAGAATAGAATATGAGAAATTAGGAAAATAAAGAGAGAAAAGAATTTCCCTCGGGATAAAATTTCTGCAAGCAAGGATTTATTGATTAACTAATTTTATTTAATAATTTTATTTATCAACTTAAATCTAATAATTTACATACATTTAATTTAATATTTATTTATGTAGTTTTATAATTTAAATAAATTATTAGAAAAATATTATAATAATTTATTATTAAGAAAAAAAACGTTATTATAATAAATTTATATAAAATTTATATTTAACACATAAATTTAACGATATGAAATTATATTTTGAAAAATAAAAAAAAAAATTATTTAATGTTAAAAAATAATTTCTTTATATTTCCTGAAACCTGATGAGCTCTACGTGGTTATGGTGGATAAAACGTGATGGCATTTCAAAATGTACGTGTGAGAGTTATTTTTTTTAACTTATTTTGAAATAGAGTTGAAAAATAGTGCTATTTTCTTTATCTAATTTTTTTGTTGGAAAAATCTGAAAATATTTTCATATTATTAAAAGAATTTGCTGCTTTTAATACATAAAAATTGGACCTATCATGTTACAAAATAATAAAATAAAGTTCATAACTAACATAATTTAATTAATTTATTATATATATTTTTAATTTGGGTCTTGAAATTTCATAAACTGTATTTTGATTTGGCCTCCTACTCGATGTATCCCAAAATCAAAGAGCCCAACCCATAAGTTTTCGATTCAAGTTTCTTTTTTTTTTTTTTTCAATTTGGGTCGTGGGTGGGCCACAGGGCCACAAATAGAAATTTGTAAAAATATGGGGTTGATTTGTGAATATAAATAAAGCGCCCGCTAAAGACAAAACAAATAAAATTCCAAATTTTCAATTAAATCCGATTCTGGCCGAATGAGCTCTGCAAGCTCATCGACCCTGCAAGCATAGTTGTTCGTACCCGGCAAAAAAAAAAAAAAAATAAAAGAGAAAAAGGAAATACTAAAAATTTATCTCGCCATGATCAAAACCTCAATTGCAGGTATCTTTCCGTATTCTCTAAATTTTGAATTCAAACTTTCTTCAAATTCGGTTCGGTTCGTTATTTTTGTTATTTTCCTGGAAAATTGCAGGCTAGGGTACGGAACACGGACTTGCGTATATTTTGATTGCTAATGGAACCGCAGGTGAAGCAAAGGTATCATGATTATATCTATTTGTTTACTTTAGAGTGAATCCTTTAATTAGTTTGATCCTGAATTCAGGTACTAGATTAGGCGTTTGAGGGTTCATTATTTGGCTTGAGATTGAATTCGAGTTTCGCCGATATTAATTTTGTCGCACAAGGACGAAGAATTGAGGAAACTGGAATTCTAATTGACAGTTGAAACAATGTATAGCCCTGTGTCCACGGCCACTACCACCCGGGGTGGGGAACCAACTGAAAGTGGGGATTCGGTTGTGACTATAGATCAAGTTCCTCGGTGGAGTGATGCCGAGCAGAGATTATCTTTGGAATATGGGAATGAAGATCCTTCATTTTCTAATTCATATTTTCCCGATCCTTTAGCATCTGCTTCGAGCACCGAAAGTAGTATTAATGGGATGGTCTCGAGATTTCCTGTTGATCATGAAATAAACTCGAAGATATATCTATGGAGAGGACAACCTTGGAATCTTGAGGTAGATGCTGTTGTGAATTCTACAAATGAGGTGAGCACTATGTTATACATGCTTTCTTGCTTAGCTCCGTTTGAGGTCTAAGATTCATGAAGACAAAAGAGTTGTATAGCTTTTCTATGGAATTATTTCGACTTAAAAGCATTTTATCTTCCATTCTTGTCAGATTTTGTGAACTGCGATCTTTTCTTTCTGACTGTTGCCTGTAATCATGATCTTGTAAAATTGTACTTGGCTTCTTATAACTTTAATTCTTTGATATGGCCATCCCCAGTACTGAGCAGATTTTGGAAAATTGATGCTCGGTCAAGGCCTGATAGGTAGCTAAGGTAAAATTATTTGCATAAAAAGCCATTTGACTTACCACTCAGATTTAGGAGGGGGTTCAGGCCAGCTTTTAATCTTATACGTGTTTCTTGCATCACTATTCTTTACTTGCTGGTGAGAATCTCTGCTTGAAATTATGCTGTCTTGCCCCTTGGAACTTAAAGATGCTCTTACTCTTCTGGGAAATCCAAATTTGTGATAATTGATTCAAGTCAAACTTGCCTATGATATGATGCATGGGGTAGTAAATAGATGATATTTCTGATATTATCCATCAGCATATGATGCATGCGATAGTAAATAGGTGATATTTCCAATATTATGATGCATGTGATAGTAAATAGGTGACATTTCTGATATTTGTCTTTTGATGGATGGGGAACAGAACTTGGATGAAGCACACAGCAGCCCTGGTTTGCATGCAGCCGCTGGGCCTGGTCTTGTGGAAGAATGTGCAACACTGGTAAATGCTTGTCCACCTCTTTTTTTTTTTCCCTTTTCCGGTTTCACTTAAAAAAAAACCCTTTAGATATGCAATGTCCAAAATGAGCATGGACGACTCTATGCACCAAAGAAGGGTTTTCTTGGCAATATATGTAGTTAAAGTCTCCACATGTTTCACAAAGTGAGTATATATAATGTGAATTGCACTTCCATGCCATAAGATCTTGACCCATATAAGTGTATATGCACGTGCAGATATCAAAACAGAATTTTTTTTTTGAACATTTCCTTTTGATTATTTTGCAGTTCTTATGGCTAAGAATTTTTTGAGAAAATCAAGAGAAGATAACTTCAGATGTCTTTCTTTCTCACAGGGTGGATGTCGAACTGGGATGGCAAAGGTGACTAATGCATATGATCTTCCTGCTAGGTGGGTATATTTGGACAGAATGAGGATGAAGAACCTTTACGTTTTTGAGTTTCAGATCAGAAACTCATTCGTTATCCTTTTGGATTCCATTAACGTGCCAAGTGATCTGAGTTCTTGCTTATGGCCTGTTCATCATAAGACTACTGGCGGACCACAACTCAGAGGCTGGGAAAGGAGGAGCCATGGGCTGCCTGCCTCTCTCCCCCCCTCCATAACTACCATGTTTCAACTCCTCTTCAGTTTTTTTATTTACTGTTATAACCCTCCATTTCAACCTCCCTTCACATTTATTCTTAATATTTATATACAACATAGCTCTTTTCAATTTTTTATTATTTTTACATATAATTAATCATTAAGTAGTTAGTGTAATTTTTCTTAATCTTTTTCAATAATATAATTTGCATATATAAATTGTATAATTTTGTGTATAAATAAAACAGATAAATAAAAAACAAATAACATCAATAAAATATATAATAGTAACTAAAACTAATAATAATAATAACAAAGATTTAGCCTACCATCGGAGCTTTCCCCTGACATTCCACACAGTCTTTGTACAATAAGTTATAGTTGCCTCTCCTCCCTCCCCATCCTTCCCACCCCCAACAAAATAAAAATTTCTGGTTCCACCACTGATAAGATCATAATGAAAAATGTCCTGCATGCAATATAGTTGTTACAACCATTTGACATGTCTTATATTCTTCTTAGTCAAGTTTTAGTAATTAAGGACTGAGGAGGAGCATTGTATCCTTGGCCATGGGACTATAGAACATTTGTTTTCTGAGTCCGTTCAGGGAGGTATAAGTTATATATAAAGGTGGATCCTGTTTTAACAAGCATCTTAATATAAACTACCGAAGTATAGATCTTTTTGCCGTACAATTGAGCAAAAGATGGGTTTCATGGTAGTGAGGTTTTTTTTTCTCCATTTCAGTTATTTCTCTTGTAGATTATGTATAATTATGTTTGCAATTCTGATTTTGCATAATTTGCTGGTCTAAAGAGTGAGTGACTTTTTTAGGAGAGTTATCCATACTGTTGGACCCAAGTACGCTGTCAAATATCATACTGCTGCAGAGAATGCTTTGAGTCACTGCTACAGATCGTGCTTGGAACTTCTGATTGAGAATGGTCTTAAGAGGTTGTTTGTTAGCAGATGCTAATTTCTTTTGTTCTTTTAGTTTTCTTATCTAGCATCGTTCTCCTTTTCTGGATCTTATTTTGGCTCGACGTGCATATTGCAGCATTGCGATGGGTTGTATATACACAGAGGCCAAGAACTATCCACGTGAACCAGCTGCTCATGTAGCTATACGTGAGAAATTTTTGCACTCCACAGTTATTTAATAAATTCTATCTGTGTTCCTGTGACTGGTGAGATTATATGAGAAGATTTTGGCATGCTGCATAAGTTGATTTCAACCATCTTGTTTTTTGAAAATTTTGAATAGCTTAAATACAATACTTAATTAAGAACAAAATTTGGAGGTCTAGAATCTTAATAATCAAATCAATAACTCAATATGTATGATGATCATATAACTAGTCCACATACTAAATAAGTAATGGTACTCTTTTATAGGTACTAGAGTAAAATCAAAAAAATATTTTTTAAGTCTATCTAAGAAATCTATTAAATAGAAAACTAAGTTAATTAATTGAATAACCTATTCTAGTGTAGGATAACTAAATAGGAAGATTAATGAACTCACACTAATAATAATAAGCTTATAAATAGTGCTTCCTAACTAAGATAAGTGCCTTAATAATACATGTATATCAAAATTATATAAATATTTCTTAGTAATGAAATTTGTTCAGTTCAATATCTTATTGTTCTGCATCAGCTACAGTTGCTGAAGATGAGTACAACAAACGAAAGTATTCTAGATCTTCTCTTATCAAGAAAAATAAACTTGATATTTTAGAACTGCATCATCTCGGGGACCTCAAACTGGCATATGTCCATTTGAATTTATATCTCTTCCTCTAATGCTAGAAGAAATACGAGCTATAACTTTGGAATAGAAAAAGTTGTTGTTATTATGTGATGTTATGGATTTTTCATTTTTACGTGAGTTCTTTAGAAAATTAAGTTGTGATTTTCTCATGAAATGGAAAGAGCTGGTATTTGTTACATGGCATTTTTCAAATGCACCAGTTTATAAAATTTTTGTAATGTTTTCTTGATCTATTTTCTTTGTGAAAATGTTTTTGCAATGCGATAAAAATGTCTGAAGCTTTATCACTATGCTTTGATAGTACAATCTTCCCATTCATCTTTTGTTTCCCTTCCTTCAGGGACCGTTCGTCGATTTTTGGAGAAACAAAAAGATAAAATAACTGCTGTTGTCTTCTGTACAACTACATCCTCTGATACCGAGATATATAAAAGGTCAAGATACTATTTATTTCTAATGTTAACTTCACTCCAGTCGCTCATATTTTCAGCTGCTTGAATCACCTGTAGCAATTCCGACATTGTATTGTCTGGTATCAGCAAGCTCATAAAAGGATTTCCGTGCTGAGATTTAAGTTTACCATAGTTCTTTTTCTTTTAATGACTTTTTTTGCGCTCAGCTATTATATAAAAAAAAAATGGTCATCAGTCTGAATAATAGAATAAAATGTCAAGGTTGTGAGGGTGACATTTGAAACCATGTGCATGTATTTCATTAATCTAATACAGCAGGTGATAATGTTATTTCCTTTATTTTACTCTGGATATGCAAAATGATCTGTACTGTTGCCAGTTCTCTTCGAGAATTCTGTATACTTTAGGCATGATCTAAACTTCTAAATGTAGATTGCTTCCGCTCTACTTTCCTCGAGACAAACATGAGGAGGAGGTGGCCATTTCAAAGCTCCCTGCTGATGTTGGGGATGAGAATGGCGAGACAATTATTGATGAACGTAAAATCAGAATAAAGCCATTGCCTAAAAAGACTGCTTCAAGACCCCCACAAGCCCCAGCTGAACTTCCTACTGGTGATGTTGGTTTGGTGCGAAGGTCAGTACAAGCATTATTCTGTCCTTTCAGTCGAGTTTTCCAGTAGTTCAATAATCTCTATGTGCTTCATTTGAATATATACGTGCCTGCATACAGATCCTTGTTTATTTTGTTATATTTTTTGCTAGAAGATTTGATTAGTTTCATAATCTCTGCGGTAGATATCACTTTTGGGAAAAATGCTGTCATAAGCTTCTCTTTATGCATAGTTATCTGGCATGTCGATTTCCTATGTTCTATTTTTCTATGTCAAAAACTGTAAATTGGGTTTTTGCATCTCTATTCTCTTTCATCAGTTTTACGTTCATAATGACAGAATTATTACTGGTGTAAATTTTTTTTTGAAAGAAATTACTGGTGTAATTTTAAAATAGGATTGACACTGGTGGATGTATAAAATCCTACAGGAACTCTCATTATTTGGATTCCTATTTGGATCCTGCCTTCATGTCTTTGATTAAAGATCCAGATCAGAGACGTAAGGAACAATGGGAAAAAACTGCTCAAGCACAAAGTGGATGGAATTGCGCTAAAATGCTTGGATTTGGTGACCTTGGTGGACCTCCTTTATCAGCTGCTGAGGAGTACTCACTTCATTCCAGATACCTTGCTAAAGCAAATTCTCTTAATCTTTCTGAAATTGCAGAGATGAAGATAGTGTAAGCATTTATGAAGTTTCTGATTAAATTTAGTTGCCTTTCAAAATTGGTATATTAGGTTCCTGTCTTTTTCTTTCATGAATCATGATATGGTTCCATAATTTTTTTTCCTGCCAGCTGGGAAATCAAATTCTTGCAGCTGTAATGATTGCACATGATTAAACCATTATTCAGGCTGTATAATATCTTGTTCTTTTATGATGTTTTCCATTGATTTGTCGGGTTTGTAAAGACACCAAGCAAACTCATTTTTGTTATTCCATGATACCACTCTTTAGTTCATTTGAATATGGATCAGTAGTCCTTGGTTGGATAAAAGCAATGAGTGTGTTCTCTTGTTTTTGTTCCAGTTACCGTGGTGGTGTAGACAGTGAGGGCCGTCCTGTGATGGTGGTTGTGGGTGCACATTTTTTGCTGCGATGTCTTGATTTGGAGCGCTTCGTGCTTTATGTGGTAAAGGTATGCAGGCTACAGCTGTCTTTATTTTGAAATTCATCTTTGCTTCTGATACTGTCACTTCTATGCAGTTTGGAGTTGGATTGTAGTTTCTAGGTTATTTTGTTCTCGCTTGTGCTGTAAAATTAGTACTCATTTGGTCTTCAATGATTCATATACATACCCGTTGGTCTAAGTCATTGCCTCGATCTTTAACTTTCAGGAATTTGAGCCATTGATACAGAAGTCTTATTCTATTGTATACTTTCACTCTGCAGCATCCTTACAGCTGTAAGTATTATATGTTTTATTTGAAGACTGCATCAAAGAATCACTTCTAGAGAATGCATAGGGAGTTAGCCTTGATGTATCTTGTGTTAACAAATTCATAAGGAATTTCTTTAACAGCTGAATCATAGGGAAGTATTATATGCATAAGGAGTTTCAAGCCATCTTTAGGATGATAAATGTATCTGGGCAACATATTGATTAGAGTCTAGGCAGGGAAGTAGGAATTGCAGAAAAAGTTGATATTTTGGCAACTTCCAGTGACATATAGTTTCTCTTTGAAGAAATTCCTATTTTTAAGTTGAGAATATTTTATTTTTGCCTAGATCTGCAAGCTTCTTAAACAGCTGAATCATAGGGTTCTTTCAGTTTTCCCACCATAGTTGTACATCTACATGTCTTCTGATGTTTAGATGGTACTTGCATCATTTAAAGGAACTTCCTGACTGTGAAACAAAGAGATCAATATCCTGTAGATATGCAAATTCTTTTTCCTTTTTCGGGGAATTTTGACTTCAGAGATTGAAATGGTTTGGATTTTTAATGACTGTTTTAACTTGCATTTGACAGTCTTGTTTAAGGTTAATGCTTCCTACACTAAATTTATATGCACCTGTTCATGGAATAACAGCCAGCCTGACTTGGGATGGATGAGAAGGTTACAACAAATACTTGGTCGGAAACATCAGCGTAACCTGCATGTACGTTATTATTCCGTGTTTAATTATAATAAAACATTACAATCTTCGTTATCATCTTATTTGCTCTGTACAGTCAATATATGTTCTTCATCCAACTTTCCACTTGAAGGCAACAATTTTTGCTCTCCAATTATTTGTAGACAATGTGGTAAGTTGGAAACTATTTCTCTTTGATTAATGGCTGGTACCTGAATTGGTGTTCAAAGTTTACTGGTTCTTTTTCTTTCTGTTGGAAATTTTCCTCTAGGTCTGGAAGAAAGTTGTATATGTTGATCGGCTTCTTCAGCTGTTCAAATATGTTCCACGTGAGCAGTTGACCATCCCTGATTTTGTGTTTCAGTTGAGTTTTCTAGTTCTTTTTCCCTCAAAGTACTTTTATCTTAATCAATCGACAATTTTTTCCTCTATGCATTATCATAAATGGAACTAGCACTCTTGTTTGTTTTGGAAATTTAAGAGAATAAATCCATTGGAAATGATTTATCTATTCAGCAACCATCATATCTGCCGATTGCCATTACCCGCCATAGTTGTTGGTAAGTTCCAAAGAAGGATATTTTTAACTGAAGAATGGTTCCCACCAACAAACTATTCAGTTCTCATAATTGAACCATTGGCATTTTACGTGCCATCATGGCCATTTTCATAATTAAGAATGACAACATTGGAAAAAGAAATGGATGGTCTCTAATGCTTTAACTATTGTTCCAAGCGCAGGCATGATTTGGAGGTGAACGGAGGCAAGGGTCTGATCGTGGACCCGAG